TCCAATCTAAACCCAATCATAACCCATTCCAAACCAATCCAATCCAACCCAAGCCCAATCCAAACCCTTTTCCCTGTGCCACTCAATCCAGCACCTTCCCCATCCACCTTTTCCGTGCTCTGGGAAGCGGAGCAGCAGCACCTCCACCCTTACCCAGTCCTTTCTGCGGAGCCGGCGAGCGGAATTCCATGAGATAACTCAGGTAGGGCTTTTCCGAGCCGATCTCGTAGTACCGGATGTTGCCGTCACCCTGGAGCAGCAGGGAAGACGGATGGGAATGGATTTGGAAATGAGAAGGTGGAAAAAAGCAGGATTAGGAGCATTTGGAAGGCAGGAATGGATGGGATATTGAGAAGGAATCGTTCCCTGGGAGGGTGGGATGGGGCTGGGCTGGAATTCCCAGAGAAGCTGTGGCTGCCTCTGGATGCCTGGAATATCCTGGGTTGGACGGGACTTGGAGCAGCCTGGGATGATCGAATGTGTCCCAGGGCAGGGACACCCATGGCACTGGATGAGATTGAAGCTCCCTTTCCATACAAACCATTCCAGGATCCAAATTCCAGCCCCAGTCCCCTGGGCAATGCTGGGGGATTTTTCTGGGAATGGCACATCCAGATATTCCATACATCCCTACCTTCCCAGCCAGGTACAGCATGTGGGTGTCAGCGTCGTAGAACGGGAAGAGGAGCCCCGAGAGCCCATCGATCTCCTCCTCGATCAAAGGCATGGATAAATCTTCCTGGAAAACAGGAAAATCCCGGTGTTAGCCGTGTCCTGATGGCATGGAGAAAGAATTCCGGCAGGGATGGAGCAGGGATCTGGGCAGGAATGGAGAGGGATCCTGGTGGTGTTGGAGCAGGAACTCCAGCAGGGATGGAGCAGGAATTCCAGCAGGAATGGAGCAGGATCCTGACAAGGATGGAGTGGGAATTCCAGCAGGGATGGAGCAGGAATTCCAGCAGGGATGGAGCAGGAATTCCAGTAGGAACGGAGCAGGAATTCCAGNTGCCTCTGTTGGGATGGAGACCGGCAGCACGGTGCCTTTCCATGCATCCCCAGATCCCATTCCCATTCCCATTCCCATTCCCATTCCCATTCCCACTCCAGGGCTGCCCCACCTCGTTCTCCGTGCGGGGTGGGACGTTCTCCAGGAGGTCGATCCCGTTGACCACCACGCTTTTCTTCTCCCTCACCGGCGCCTTGAAGACGATCTTGGAATTCCTCTTGTACCCCTCCTTCAGCGACACCAGGATGGGATCTGTGGGAGAGCCGGCGGATCAGCAGGATGTGGTGGTCTTTTCCCACATCCCGGATATTTTTGGGATACCCCCCTGGTGGGTTTACCTCTGTTGACCCCACTGAGCCACTCGTCCGGGGTCAGGGCTGGCTCCGTGCCCGGAGTCATGGGATAAATGTCCTCCTGGTACGTCTCCGACTGGGAAAATGGGAAGAGAGAAAAGCAATGGGATCTGGGAATCTGCTCCCTGGGAATTGAGGAAAAATTCCCTCCCACACACAAGGAATAAACACCCAGATAGTTGGGAAACTCTGGGCACAGGGAGGAAATTTGGGAAGTGCTGGCTGGAGCAGAGAACCTGGGATTGTGTTGTCCACCCAGCCCTAGCCAGCAGCTGGATTTGCTTCCCAGAAAACCCCAATCCAAGAGATATTTTCCCCAAAATTCCCAAAACTCAAGTGAGACCAACCCCTTGGAGAAACATTCCCTAAAAACATTCCTATTGAATTGTGGTTGAAATTCCATGGGATGAGTAAAGACCGAGAGGTCCAGGGATGGTGGGAACGGAGCCATGCATGGGATTGGCCAAAGTGGGGCATGTCCATGGCTGTGGAGCCACCTGGACCTTCCGGATCCCGCTCATTCCCACATTCCAGGACTCACCCGCCTGGGGACGATCATGGAGATGGGCTCGATGAGCCCCTTGAGGGTGATGAGTTTGTAGAAACGGAAAACTTCGCAGGCGGAGACGTCCAGGCCGTGCTTCGGCATCACCCCTGCGGAGAGCACCGGGATCAGCCATCCACGCAATTCCANCTTGGGATGAGGCCAAGCCCTTCCCACCATCTCCACAACCAGGCTGGCAACCGGATTCCACCACGCGGAAAACCTCCCACGGGGAGCACCCACAGCACTTGACGGGTATTTTCACGGCATTCCATAGGACTCTTCCCTAAAAACCTCGCTCCGAGCGCCCATCCCACCTGCAGGACCCTCCCGGAGCGCGGCTCCACCACGCGCAGCTTCTTGTCCTTGCAGGTGGTGGCCAGCAGGCTGCCGTCGGTGTTGAAGGACATGCAGAGGATCACGTCCGTGTGGCAGTCGATCATCTTCACCGGCTCGCCGATGTCCAGGTTCCAGATCAGCACCTGCGGGAGCAGCCTCTGGAGCAACCCGGGATGGAGGGAGCTCTTCCTGCTCTGCGGAAGCTGCTCCCGGTCCATGGAATGTCTCCCTGGCCTATGGACGCTGCTCCTGGTCTATGGACGCTGTTCCTGGTCTATAGAAGCTGTTCCTGATCTATGGAAGCTGTTCCTGGGTTTTTGGAAGCTGTTCCTTGTCTATGGAAGCTCTTCCTGGTCTATGGAAGTTCTCCCTGGTCTATGGAAGCTGTTCCTGGTCTATGGGAGCTGTTCCTGGTCTATGGAAGCTGTTCCTGATCCATGGAACGTCTTCTTGATCTACAGAATGTCTACCTGATCCATGGAATATCTCCCTGGCCTATGGAAGCTGCTCCTGGTCTCTGGAATGTCTCCCTGGCCTATGGAAGCTCTCCCTGATCTGTGGAAGCCTTTCCTGGTCTGTGGAAGCTGTTCCTGATCCATGGAATGTCCCCCCGATCCACGGAATGTCTCCCTGGCCTATGGACGCTATTCCTGGTCTATGGAAGCTCTTCCTGGTCTATGGAAGTTGCTCCTGGCCTATGGAAGTTGTTCCTGGTCTATGGGAGCTGTTCCTGATCCATGGAATGTCTCTCTGGCCTATAGAAGCTGCTCCTGGTCTCTGGAATGTCTCCCTGGTCTCTGGAATGTCTCCCTGGCCTATGGAAGCTCTCCCTGATCTGTGGAAACTCTTCCTGGTCTGTGGAAGCTCTCCCTGATATATGGAAGTTGTTCCTGGTCCATGGAATGTCTCCCTGGTCATGGATGCTGTTCCTGATCCATGGAATGTCCCCCTGATCCATGGAATTTCTCCCTGGCCTATGGAAGCTGTTCCTGATTCATGGAATGTCCCCCTGGTCCATGGAATGTCCCCCTGATCTGTGGAAGCTGTTCCTGATCCATGGAATGTCCCCCTGATCCATGGAATGTCTCCCCAGCCTATGGAAGCTGTTCCTGGTCCATGGAAAATGTCCCCCCCGATCCATGGAATGTCTCCCTGGCCTATGGAAGCTCTCCCCGCCCTATGGAAAGCACGGAATGCGATGAGCTTTAAGCTCCCTCCAACCCAAACCATTCCAGCATTCCACAATCCCACCCTGGCCGTCCACAGGCGGCTCCCGGCGGTGCCGGGATCCAGGAAAGCCCTTTGGGCCGGCATTCCCGGGAAGGCTGACCTTGTAGTCGTAGCCGGCGCTGAGGAGGATGTTGTTGGTGGTGGGGTGCCACTCCACGAGCCCCACGCGCCGGCTGTGCCCGTACAGCTCCAGCACCGCCTCCGTCATGTTCCGCTTCAGCCCTCCCTCCGGAATCTCCCAGATCCGCACCTGCAACGGGGGTTGGAGCGTCCCAACGCCCGCCCCCGGAATTCCTGCCTTGC